TGAGTATTATTGTTTCTATCTTCCACCATTGTTGCCCCGACTAATTTGCACTAATGCTTTTGATATTAGACAGTTCTTTTAGTGTTGTGCTTATGTTTCTAGACAGTTCAAAAACATGATATTTAACGTGCATGCAAGCATGCTGAAAGTTAGTAGACAAACATTATTATAGGAAGTTTTATTCCAGTTGTAAACATGATAAATTATCAAGAATATGGCATGTTAAAATTAGTACAATTTAAAAGCGATATGTTATCTGTGTTGTAAGCTATTACATCTCTGTATGTATCAAGAAGTGGTCTAAAGGATTCTTCTTATTACAATTTAAAAGTTCAGCATTACCAAGAATTAAGTTACATGTTTTATATGTTTTAAGTTCACATGTTTGTTATTACAATTTAAAATTATGATGATAATATCTATTAGTGTTTCTTAACATGTAAAATATATTTTCTTTGTAATAGGTAAAATAGATCAAGTGAACACAACTCCGGAGCCGGAAGGAACATCTAATCTTACACAAGAAAGTTGTAATATATTAGCTTGTTGTTGTTGAAAAGTTGTAATTTGATTGTAGAATTTAATTTTAATTGTAATGTTAAGATGTTGAAGACTATGTTAAGATAATTGTGATTGCATTTTCTTGAAGACAATGTAAAGAGACCTTATTTTAATTGTAATTTTTTTTTTTTTTGGTGCGGGTTTGGGTTTGGGTGAAAAAACCCGAACCCAACGGGTGCGGGCGCGTGTGTGATTTTGTCACCCAAATACCCTTCAGGTTCAGGTTTGGGTGAAAAAACCCGAACCCAACGGGTGCGGGCGCGGGTGTGATTTTGTCACCCGAATAGCCTTCGGGTTCGGGTTCGGGTGATGATTTCGGGTGATGATTTCGGGTGCGGGTGTGGGTAGTGTGAAACCTGCACCCGACCCGACCCGTTGCCATCCCTAGATAATTAAGACCATTTAATTATTGTTATCGCTTTATTTATTTTTCCGCATTTAAATTTCAAAGGGTTGCTTTTGGCGATGTAAATACCCGACGCCTTGTAATTTAATTTCCGCAATTTATTTTCCGCAAAATATAACTGTTAGATGTTTGATAATAGGGATGCATGACAAGATGAAATGTTTAAACCTAAAATCAATTTAGATTATCATTAACATGTACAAAGATAAAAATAAACTGAAAACGACACACTCGCACATGTGCACTCTTAGGGTACACCCCACTTGGTTGCCTTCGTAACGCGGTCATTAAGTATAGGTCACTTTAGAGGTCGCCCTCTTGTCCAAAGATCATAAGTTACCTCGAAATAGTTGCCTCGGATATTGTTGCCTCAAAACAAATGATCTAAGATATTAGGGTTACCGCTAAGGCGTCCTAACATTGCTTTGGTGACCGTAAGTCCCTAAATTCGAATTGACCCTTAAACTCCAACGACGGTGCTACCTACTCATCAATAGTAGGATATCATTGTCTAAAGGAAGATAGCATAGAACGATTCCTTTTTCGAGTAGGTAGATGGTTCTTAAGTACTTGCTCTTTCAAAAACAAAAACTTTTCACACTTACACTTTTCGAACAAAGTTTTCAAAAATACTTCATACGCTCTTGAGGACAGAAGCAAGAGTTAAATCGAAGTTTCAAAACAAAAACTTTTTTTTCAAAACCCACAAGCACAAAGAAAGCAATATTTTGAAAACAAAATGAGCAAGTACCTAAGAGCCCGTGGATAACCACAGATAGAAAGGGTGCTAACACCTTCCCTTTCTATAATCTACCCCCCGAACCCGAGAAATATCTCGAAAAAGGAATTTTTCTGTGCTTTTTTCCTTTCCTTGTTGGATAAAATAAAAGTCGGTGGCGACTCTTGCTTGTCGCGACATTTTGTGAACACAAATGCAAAACGCAAACCAACATTCCAAAAAATAGTCAGTTCTTTCCCACCGTATCACACTTACCCATTACCAGAATTTTTGACCTGCCAGTGACACTAAAACTTCTAGATTCCCAGCTACACTAGAACTTCCAGACTCCCCCAGCAATCAGAACTTCTAGGCTTTCCTTTGTTCCCAGCAACCCCAGAACTTTAGTGTGTCCGGATCTATAACTTCTGGCCTTCCCCGTTCCTGCTAACATTTTCTTTCTGACTTGCAGCACACCAGAGTCAGAACTTCTGCTCTCTCTTATTTCAGTAACGTGCTGATTCTGACTCTTATTCTCTTATTATTCTTATCATCACTTTTATTTTTATTAATAAAAAACACCAAAAATACTTTATATTCACATGCTTTATTTTATTTCTTTTAAGACAAAAATACTAAAAATATTTTCTTAAGCAAATCTATTTCTTCTCTTAACAAAAACAAAACAAGTCTATTTTACATTTCTTGTACATTATTTCAATATGGTTGTAATAGATAATTATGACTTTAATTTCTTTGCAATCCCCATTTGTAAATTTGTAAACCCCATCCCCAAATGATTGTAATAGCGTAGGATATTTACTTTCCGCAATTTATCGCTTTCATATAAATGCTAGTAATTAGGATTTGTATGGGAAGATAAAATCAATGCTTAAAAAAACACTAATTCAAAGATAAATCAAGCATGAAATACAACACTTGCACACTTGCATCTCTAGGATTAACTCTACTTGTTGCCTTGAGAAAATGGCCATGATATGTATGTGAGGCGTCTTAGCAAAAGCAATAAAATATACAAGATCATAGTCCCTCGATGACGCTTCGAATGTTTCCTTTCAAATGATCTTAGTCCCTCGAGAGAAATGCTAAGATATCTCACAACATTGCTATCATGACTATACGATGACCCACGCCCGTCCCTTTATATCCAAAGATAAAGCTTCTTACCAATCAATGGTAAGATAGCAACATCTAAAGGAGAAGGAAAAGAACAAATACTTTTGAGTAGGTAGAAACATTCTTAGTTACTTGCTCGTTTTCAAAATAAACCTCTTTTCAAACACACCAACACTTTCCACGAAATATTTTCAAAAAGTCCAATACTTTGTATACATTCTTAAAGAGACGAGAATCATTATAAAGTTAACCTAAACGATGACGCTTTTCAAAAATACTTTCAAAAACCACCACAAAGCACACTTTCAAACAAAATCAAGTGATCTAGCAAGCAACTAAGAGCCCATAGATAACTATTGATGAAAAGGGTGCTAACACCTTCCCTTTTCATAATATACCCCCCGAACTCAAGAAATTAATCTCAAAGGTCTTTCCTGTTCTTTTCACCCTTTCCTTTATTGGATAAAAGAAAATTCGGTGGCGATTCTTGCGATCTGCAACAAATGCGATCAAACGCAAAACATCCAAAAATCAGTTCTCCCACCGTGCTACAGTACTACTGACCTACCATATAATACGATGCAAAAGAGCACGTAAAGAGATGCGACAAATGCCAATGCCACGGGGACATGCACTTGGCGCCACCCAACAAGCTCAAGTTTCTCTCGTCCCCATGACCCTTCGCGTGGTGGGGCATGGACATCCTCGAGCCGTTTGTAGTAGGATCAAATCAAAAAAACACCTGATAGTAGGCGTGGATTGTTTCACGAAGTTGATAGACACAGTGGCCTTGGCCAAAATCACGGCATAAAATATACTCTGTTTCTACAAGAGAAACATACTTGTCTGATTCGATAGACCCTAGGCGATCGTCACCAATAACGGGACATAGTTCACGAACAAAAACTTTCAAGAGTTCATTGCCAAACTAGGCACCACCCAACACTTCGCATCCGTCGAGCACTCGTAAATAAATGGGCAGGCGGAAGATGTGAACAGGGTAATCCTACGAGGACTCAAATGAAGGTTTGACGGAACTAAAAAGAAGTAGGTCAATGAGATACACAACATGCTCTGGGCATACCGAACAACACCTCACTCGATTACTGGGGAGACCCCGTTTTAACTAGTGTACGGAACAGGGACAATGATCCCAATCGAAATCAGAGAGCCTTCAATGCGAATTGAAGCCCCTATCGACAAAGAGATAAACGACGAAGCACTAAGAGAAGAGCTCGACTAGTTCAAAGAAGTCCGATCAGGAGCAGCCATACGAGCAGCTTTGCTGAAATAAAAAGTTGCCATACGTCATAACGCCACGGCCATACGACGAGAATTCGAAGTCTGCAGCCTAGTCTTAAGGAGAAATCACAAAGATTCTCGCGAATGCAAGCTCGCCGCTGTTGCACCCTAAATTTCACCCATAAATTTTTTTGTCGTATTATCATATCATATTTTGTTATTTGGTCATAATCTTTAATAAACATCTTCATTCATCATATTTGCATCATTAGTCATTTAATTTGACCAAAAGTCACTTTAAATAGACATTTGTATCGTTTTATAGTTGAAAGTACTTGCATTTCATTTTATGCATTTTTATCTCTTCACCCGCTTCATGCATTGCTCCAAGTTGTTTATATGTCGATAATATTGATATTTTAGTTTTATAGACAAATCGTTAAAGGCGATTGACACGGTGCAGAAAATTAGCGGGAAAATATTTCAAGTTTTCATCATTTATTGACTATTTTATGAATTTACGCTACACGCAGATCATGTTGGTATTCTCGCTCTATTTTTCGGTGCAGTTCGCAATTTCTTTCTTAATTGTCAGTGTCTGTGCAGTCGAGTATTTTATTTTTATTTTATTTCGATTTTGACTATTTGACATCTTTTTATTAATCTTTATGATCCGTAATTTATTTTAATATGTTCATTTTCTTATTTCAATTAATTAAATATTCATACTTTATCGTTTTTTATTATTTTGAGTCTCATTTTTTATTCAGAAAAATTTTAAAAAAAATTCTAAATTATATTAATTTTTGTTCTTTTAAGTCCTTAACTTGATCTTATCCAGAAGAATTTTTTAACTATTTAAAAAATTAGCTTGATCTTATCTAAAAGGACTTTTTTAGCTATTTAAAAAATTAACTAACCCTATTTTGTGTTTGTATAAGTAAAACTAAAGTTTGTGATAAGGGGGATGAAAACGAAAACAGTAACACAGAAGAGGCGGATTCATCACGAGACAGAAAAACTCAGAAACAAGATTCTTCTATTACCATCATCTTCATAAACCCAATTCCTCACATCTCAAGCTTCCATTTTTTTCCCTTCATTTCCTTCATCTTCAAAACTCACGCTATTCCAACATCACAAACACAATCCACCTCCAATCTCCTTCCATATCCCCAACATTCATCTCGCCTATCTCCGCTGTACAACCGCCCTCCAACTGCCATCGCAGTCCATCCGCCTCACCTCCGTGTTCCCAACAACTGCCACCGGAGAACAACCTCCGACCACCATCAACAACAAAAAACTGGATCACACTACAACGAACCCATCCGCATAGCCCATCACTCATATCTCTAACCTTCCTCCATCTTCATCGCCCACCGTTTCCACCAACTTCCGGCAACCACGAATTCCCTTCGTCAAATCGCTCACCAACCTCGTTCAACTTTTCGAAATTGCAATCCATCCTCCGCCTTCTCTACAACACAGCTACATTCGCAGTACTCCCTCCTATACAACATTATCAGTATTTGTTATTATAATTTTTTTTTTTTCATTTCATGTTTATATATATACTATTTTTTTTTTAAATAAATAAAAAGAGAAAACATTGGTTTATAAACATAGAAATAATTATCTTTTTTGTTTTTGTTTTTGTTATTATATCTTTAGTAAATTATATGATGTGCATTTAACTTATTGGTTTGTAAATAAATTTAAATTGTGATTTAATTTTCTTGTTTTATTTAATAAAAACTTTTGAGTTTTAGATTTAGTTAGATTTTTATCTTGTTAATTTCAATTTAGTTCTCGAATACGTGTGGATGTAGAAATTTTATTGACCGATTTATTTTGTGGTTATCGATTCGACGCATTCTGGTCTTGTATCTCACACTTGGTACTTATCTAAAGACATTTGGACTATATTCCTATTATCCTGATTTTATCTGGTTGTTTTGAATTTTATCTGATGCAGAGATTCTTATCTGATACTTGGATTTCTATCCGATGCGTTGAGCTTTATATGATATATTGCGCTTATCTGACACCTTGAGTTTATATGATATTTCCTGCTTGTGATTTATTCTCAGCCGCTGTGATTTATTTTCACCTGACGTGCTTTCTGCTTGTGATTTATTCTCACCGGGCGCTTGATATTCTCTTGACTTATTTCTTCGCTTGTGGCTTTAATCTAAAGGATGAGATTTTTATTGACTTTATTTGTCAAGGGTCGACTCCTGTTTGGTCAGATTGTTCCTTACCTTTAACTTTTTCCTTAGCATTTAATCTTTACCTTTTGTAGATAGAATATTCTCTTCATCTCCTTTTAATTCTTCAATTTTCAAAACTTTCTCATCTTTTTCAAAACCTTCTCGTTTTCAATAAACTCAAACCGCTTTCATAATAAACATCGACTATGTGTTAGTTGGGAATTTCGATTATACAAGTTTTAAGGCTTTTTGATCGAAAAAAGAGTTGTTCGAGGGAAATTATAAGAAGGTTTTTATGGAATCTTCGATTGATGAAGTAAAGAGTTTTACTATATTGAATCATTATCGAAGGGTTCATCTTGAAACTGTGGAAATATAAGTTATTTGGAGCATTACAAAGAAAGATATTCCGACAGTTATGTTGCTTGAATTGGCGCTTCGAAAAGAAGAAGATTTTGAATTCAAAAGCTTTGATCTTATCCAAAGAGACACGTGGAAGTCTAATAGTTCTAAAGACATGCAATCTTCGAACGTGGCGTGTTTTCGTAGAAGGACCGTTAGGGTCAAATCAGTATAAATAGAAGTCTTAGATGTTAGAAAAAGGGTGTGTTTGAATTGTATACAAAATCATATTATACTCAAAGTACTGGAGCGAGAGAAACGAGTTTGTTGATAAAGTATGTGTAAGAACACCACCAGTTTTATTCAGAATTAATTTCTCAGTACAAAGTGTTGTACCCCAAAATTTTCCCTCTCATTTTACTCAAAAACAGGCTCATTGAAGTCCTCAACTTGCTCAAGGATGCCCAAGAATTAACCAGACAAATTCTCTCCTAGGGCAATGAGCCTCAAACTAGGGTTTCCATTTTCATCAAGATGGGTGAGCTCCAAAGGTCTCAAATCTTTTCCATGGTCTTAATATGTCCTCAAGATTATCCATGCCAAGTTTTAAGCCTTGCACAAGGAGTTTGCTCAGTCAACTGCTCAAATGCCTGAAAATCAACTGTACTAGGTCAAAAGTCAACTGTGGCCCACATACAGTCAAACTTTAAGATTTTTGGTCAACATAAACATTTTGAAGTGATATTCATCATTTGATCAAGGGTTGATCATGATTCCTCAAGGAATGCCCCAAATTCATCACAACTCAAAAGTTGCTAAATTACGGTTTCTATAGGAAAAGTCAACTAAACTTTGACCAGACATAACTTTCTCATACTTTATCAGAAATTTCTCATCCAAGTCTCATTTTGAAGATGATACAATTCCCTACAACTCATTTGCAGCCCTTAAGTTCAAAAAATGCACTCATGAAAAGATATGAATTTAGACATTATAGGTCATTCCAAAAAGTCAACAAAAACACCTTTTGGGTCAAAGCTTCTTACATGAATATGGAAGATCCAATTGAGGTGAAACCAAAAGGGTTGTTTAGAGGACATTCTAAGATTTCTAAAAAGTCCAAGAACACCCTCTTAGGGTCAAAATTGAGAGAGATGTGAATTGTCAAAGTTGGCCATTTTTGGAAATTTGCACAAAGTCAACCATGCCCAAAATGCATTTTCTTCAAATGGGACCAACTTTTTATGCTTGCATCTTGTTCCTAACATGGTCCACGACCTATGAACCACTCCATGCATCATTTGTTTATTTATTTTATTTATTTTGATTTTTAATCATTTAAAATCCAAATTAAATCAAACAAATGATATAAAATTATTTTGGGATGATTTTGCATTAAATAATGAGGATACAGGCTGTATGATAGAAAACAAATCATGCAAGCCAAGAATGGACACAAAATATCCACATTTGGAAGGTTTTCAAGATTTGATTTCCTCTTAAAGTCATGCCTTTATTCTTTGGATTTTTTCCATACATGTTGACCTAATCTTGCCCACTGCATATATACAACATTGTCAACCCTAGACAAAGGAGATTATAGTGGCGCAACTTGTTGCAAAGGGAAAAACAAAGTTTCAAAATTCCAAAGAAAACTGTAGATCTGATTTCATCCTACAAGCCAATTCAAGGAATTTTGGATCATCAGTGATCATCCACGAAGGTCATTGAAGCTATTCCAATCACTCTCAAGTCACAAAACACCCAGAATCGTAAGATACAGGATTCAGTTTTCCAATTTTTCTTGATCTTCGATTACATTCATATACGCGTTTTCAATAAAATTTAATCATGCATTCATGTTTATTATAAGGTTTTAATGCTATCTGAATTGTTTGATTGAGTTTTAAGTGTAGGAATTGAAGGATGCCATTCTTAGGGTTTCCAAGCTCGTTTTGGGGCTTCCTGATATAGGAAAAATTAGGGTTAGATATGGATACCATGGCGTTCAGGGCTTCAAGCCCGTTTGATTCATGGTCTCCATTAAGATTTATGTTGCTTGTATTTAATTTTTAAATGATGCAGGTTATAGCTACATACATCGTCTATAGGTAAAAGTCCAGGCCTAAAACAACGGTTGCAGGAAGAAGACGATTGCGTGTCAAAGCTCGGTTGGCTGATTTGGATTCCGTGCGCGTTTTGGCATAATGATGAATATGTTCTTTATATTTTATTTGTGTTATTATGTTAACAAACGGTAAAGCAAGCGAGCATATGAGGGGAAGGACTTGGGTTTGATCCCAGGTCCAAACATTTTATTTTTCCATCACTTCTTTACAGGATCCATTGTGTATTATCTATGAAGGTCATCATGTATCCTCCAGATCCAGCCATTGGATCATCCTTGGATCCAGATCCAACGCTCAGTGAGTGCATCACACGGTGGTCATGCCAGATCTGATTGCACTGAATCGCACGCATTGTTTGGGCCAGCCATCTTGGGCCTGAAAATATCAGCAATGCACCCCCCTGACCACTACTTCTAAGCAGGCCCATTTCCTTTTTTTTTTCTTTTTTTTTTGTTTTGATTTCATTTAATTTTCATTTGCTTTAATATTTTTACAAAAAAATAAAAATCATTTTTTTATTAAATCAAAAATCACAAAAAATAGATTTAGGTTTTTATAATTAAAATTAATTATTTTAATTATTTCAACATTGATTATTTTGTTAAATAAAATTAATTAGAAAATTAGGTTTAACTTGCAAATTTCAATTATTTTTCTCAATAAAAAATACAAAAATATTTTTTTAATTAATTAGATTTTTTAGGCTTCTAATTTATTCCCGTATTTAATTTGTCTTACGCGCATTTACTTATTTATAATTCTGATTATTGTAACTGTTTCGAGGATTGTAATAGTTTTTAATTAGGGTTTATTTTACCGCTTTTTACTTACTATTCATTCCCCAAGTTTTGGTTATGTAACCCCTCCCCGAGGCCTTGTAATAGTTAGGATTTTAATTTCTCGCACTTTTACTTTCTGCTATTATAAACTGCCTAGATGTATGGATAATAGGATTGTATGCGAAAGACAAATGAAATTAAAACGGTAGATAACCCTAATTGTGCAAAGATAAATAAACTGAAAAATAACACATCCACATGTTCACTCCTAGGGTTTGCCTCACTCCGGTTTCCTTCGGTAAATGGTCATGAAGCATAGAGAATTTTAGTGGTCGTCCTCTAGTCCCAAAAGATAAAAAATGACCCATTCGAATGTTGCCTCAGAAAGATCTTTAGGACTTTAGAGTAATTACTAAGGTTTCATAACCATTGCTTTTGTGACTGTACTTGTCCCTTCGAATGTCCCTTAAAACTCCAATGATGGGGCTACCTACTCCTTAATAGTAGGATAGAGCTGTCTAAAGGAAACGAGAAAATGAACAATCTTTTTTCTAAGTAGAAACTCTTAAGTACTTGCTCAAAACAACAAACACTTTCAAAACAGTTTTCAAAAACAACTTCGTCACACTCTTGAGGACAGATACAAGGGTTCTCACCAAGTTAAACAAAAACTTTACAAAACACACACACAAGAAATTTCAAAATGAGCAAGTACCTAAGAGCCCATGGAAAACTATGGATAGAAAGGGTGCTAACACCTTCCCTTTCTATAATCTACCCCGTATTCAGAAACTCTCGAAAAAAGGTTTTTTTTGTTCTTTTTCCTTTCCTTTGTTGGATAAAATACAAGCCGGTGGTGACTCTTTCTTACCGTGACATTTGCGAATACAAAATGC